ATTTTAAATTAAAAACTTCTGAACATTAAATGTGTTTCCTTTGAGAGCAGCAAGTTTGCCATTGGGAAGATATTCAGGGACAGGATGTGAGGCCATGTTGTTTAGAGGAAATTCAAATATTAGGTGAAATCTGGGCTAGATGATGACAATGCAAACATCATCACCATCATCATCATCATCATCATCATCATCAGAAGGGATGAATGTTGCAGCTACCATTTCTGGGGATTTCAAGTTCTCTATTAGCTCTTAACAAATATTATCTTACTTAACTACAACTATCCACAATGGAGATATTAATAGTTCAGTTAGACAGGTAAGAAAGCAAGAAAGTGTAAAGAAGAAGAAACTCTCACATAGTAAATAGTGCTTCTGGTTGTCAATATACCCCATGTGCTCAACTGTGGTGCTGTGCTGCGTTTTGCTATAGACAAAGATCTTTATTTAGATATGATTTCACAATTCTATTTGTAAGTTTTGGTAGGAAAAATTATCTTAAAATAGGCGAGTTTTTCTTTCTAAAAGATAAAACATTTTTGAAAACATAGAAATACCCTCAAGAATTATAAATTTCCACCCTGTACTCCTAAGGTTTTTTTGTGGTTGTTTTTTTTTGGGTACCGGGGATTGAACTCGGGTCCTTGTGCTTGCGAGGCAGGTGGTGGAACTATTAAGCTAAATCCCTGGCCCTATAAGTTATATTTAAATCCTTCATCCAACTTACATTTCTGTCCCTTTTTCTCCTCAAAGTCTCAGCTGAATATAGTAATTGGTTAGGACACTTATATATACTTTCATGAACGTGGAGATAGAATATTACATAATTTTCCCTTTGGTATAGGTCTGGAATATATTAAGTGCTCACTAAATGCTAGTTTTCCTTTGTCCATTCCCATTCAGTAGTGTAAAAGTATCATCTACTTTCAGCATCTTGAGACACACAGTAAAAAGCCTTTCTGCAGGAGCAGGGATCTTTTGTCCCAAATACTTACCCCAAATGTATGTATGGTTTCCTTTGAATCACTCATTCAATTTATCTACTAGTAGTTCCTGCCAAAGATTTGTAGTTGTATTTATAAATTGAAAAAATGCCAAATCACATGTATAGAGTTTTGTGGAATTAAATCCCCTAACTTTACAAAGTCTTTGCTAATGCATTCAAATAGTGTTTCAATAATACACTATTTGGGGCTGTCCTGGTAGGACACTTAATTTAGCGGACATTATTCTCCATCTATTTTCGGAGCAGCATGACACTTTAGTGCTTAGAAGCTGTGCATCCATGTGGTTGAAGCTATAAAGTCCTGAGGCCTTCACGGAATTCCCAGAGGAAAACTGCTACAAAGATGAACATATTCTCATTAATTTAGCTTGCTAAGTGATGGCTATCATCCTAATCAGTTTGTACTGAGTTGACCGGGGTTTGACCTTCAATAACGAAATCAGATACGGTACTCAACACGGTATGGATTGCTTAACTAATCGCAATTCTTCTCACACTGGTGAAACACAAAACCAAAGTGAAGTCAAGATCTGGTTCATTAATTATCCTCACTTAGAGGGGCTGACTAATCTTGTTCAACTGGATGTGGATCTCTTTCCAATGGGAAAAGCGGGAGATGCCTCGTGACATAGAAGTAGCAGCTGTGATCTACAGAGAAATGGTGCTGCAGATGCTTCTATGAAAGAGAACCTTCTAGAGGAGATCTAGATCAAAACAAAACGAAAACTGATAAGCTGGAAGAGACAGACTAGAGCATGGTAACCCGCTTACCATGAGCGGTTATGGGCTGTAGAGGCTATGACTCAGAATGGCATGTTTCACTCCAATTCTGTCCAGCTGTCAACAGTCCCTAACTGAGGGACTCTGTGGACTAATTTCAGGGCTCTTCTCATCCACTTCTTTCATCTTTTTATGATCACACACTTGTTTTTACTTTTTTCGACACCAACAACAGACCAAGCCTATCATCGTTGCCACGCCTAATAGCCTAGATTCCTTGTCTGTGCTCTATGTTTTCTAAATAAGAACCATGAAGGGGCCATGGCCTGAACTTACACACTTTAACTACACATCAAAAACAGCTCTTATAATTGTACATGCTAGGTAGAGAACACTTTGGCATATTTTTAATGGGGAAAAGATAAAGAACACTAAGCAAAATATAATTTTATAAAAAATGTGATCATGGTAAATATAAAAATACATACTAAATTAACAGTGCTTGTGTAGGACCAATTTAAGGAAGACTTTCATTTTAAGTGATTAGTTAAATTTCACAAATATTTACTGGGAATATAAACAATAGGGCTAGGTAATAGCATAGAGAAAATCCAGACAATTCCCTGTTCTTTCCAAACTATATTACAAAACAAATAAGGATGTCAAACAGTGTGAATTACAAGGAGGGAAGTCAGCGTGTTACTTAGGTATGGCTATTGTGCTGAGTAGGTTGAATGGCTGAAGGTCTTTGCAAAAGGGTTTCAACTGAGCTGACACCAGGTGGTCAGAAGAGCTCTCTCCTTGATAAACATGTAAAGAATTTTCAAGGCCTTGGGGTGAGGACTATGGAGTTTATTCCAGATGCTACGAGAAGCCAATGGAGAACCTTTCCAAGAAGTGGAGGGACTTGACTTTTTGAAGGCCACTTTGGCAACAGGACAGTGCACATCAGGAAGCTAAGGGCAAAAGGCAGCAGACAGTGTGGAGGAGGCTGCAGCCTGGCTGGAAAGGAAGAACTGCGCTGGGGAGCAGGTTTCAGGGCAAGCTCCCGGATTTAGGGAGGAATTTTATGATGACTTTATTTGTATCTTTTTTGAGTTAGAAGATAAATATTTCATTATCAGAAACCTGTCTATAAAGCTTTGTTTACTATTTGTACTTTGAAAGGAAAAATATTTCATTACGTACAGTGGAAATGAGTGAATTCTAATAGTTTTCATTTTCTTTAAATAGTGATTAATTTAACTGACTGATTTTTCAGTATTAAAGCAAGAGCTTTGAAATGATCATTACTTTGGAGGCTTCTAATCTCTAACTGGGGATCGGCTGCCTGTCAATTTACAGACAGGCTGGCTGACATTTTTGCTAAGTTCAATTCCTTCTCAGGGACCTAAGAGACATGCCAGGCACAATGCTCTAAGTCTGCATTTCTCAGTTTTTTTATATGACCATAACTAGACACCAAGAAAACTTATTTCAAGATATTTTACTTAACACGTACCAATGACTCTATGCACCGATCTTAAAATCTACTCCACGTACCACAGCCAGTCTAATCAAAGCATGCATATATTTATGGAAATATTCATATAGATTCAAGTGATTGCCAAATTATCACACACAGTCTGTTTTTGAATGGCCGTGATCTAAGAATGGTTTTGACATTATTTGTAAAAAGGGAAAGAAAGGTATGGGGGGATATAATATACTCTCTATAGTCTTTTCGGAGAAAAAGTTTGCCAACACCCTTTGAGAGAAGTTATTAGTCTGACCTAGTAAATTAAATGAGTTTACCATAAAAGTGATTATCAATCTAAAGTACCATGAGTAACATAAGCTGTGGACTTCACTAATCAACCTATGAGGAGAACTAAGAATCAAGGGCCACGCATATAACTTGGAACGTTTTCAGTGCTTGACATTGTCTATATTCAGTCCAAAGCAGACCTAATGCCTGACCGTTCTCATTTATAGAGACCTCATTGCTCATTCCAGGGTGAAGGTTCCTCAGAGGCAATGAACGTATTTACAACACCGTCCGCTAAGTGTCTGATCCAATGTACCATGGGCTCCACTTAAATTTTATAAGTAATCATTGTGTGACCAAATTGATTTGCTATTTTTAATGATTTGAACATGCTGGCTCCATTTTAGGAGGCAGTCAAGGAAGTAAATTTACTGTCAGATCAGTAGTCACACTCAGTTTAGTACAACTGAAGACTTTAGATGGCATTCAGATAAAATTAGCCACCTGCAAGTTGCTACATTTCATTGATTACACTAATCAATACACTTGATGCAAATGATACTTTGGGGAACTTTCATGTTACACTTTGCTTGCAGGTGGATAGAGATTAATCCCAGGCAGAACAAACACATTAATAATATTTTTCAACCAACAAAATCTATCAACTCACACACACAAAAACTTAAGAAATAAAACCAAACACCATCAACAAAAAAACACTCCACTCCCAAAATTAATTTTAATAATACTGGCTAATACAAGCAAGGTATATAGGAATTACTTCTACCATCATAAAAAGAAAATAAATAAAAGAGAAACTTATGTAGGAATTGTGGTTAACAAAAAAGCTTTAGAATTGCATTTCCAGAGTTGAAATATGTGCCCTACTACTTCATTAATATGTGGTTTTGGATGTATTCTCCAAGCCTCAGTTCTTTTTCTATAAAATGAAGGCAAGAATAGCTCCCACCAGAATGGACCAATCTGTGATTTAAATTAGATGATGTATGGAAAGCAGAAAGGTGTCTTAAACAGGTGAACATTCTTCAGTAATTAGCTAAATGCCATTTCAAACTGTAGGTGTTAATAATGAAGTGATTCTAACCAACAATGGATACATAGTCCAAATTGTGAATGAAAAACAAAATGCTAATTCTTCAATTCTATGTTTCCAAAGATGGCTTTGAAACACTTGACAATTAAAAGAACAATATTATTTAGCATCTGTATAGTGCTTAAGACTTTTCCATATTCATTGTCTTTCGCCTGGTTTGGAGCATAATCTGCACAGTTGGTTACCTTTAAGCGTTACCCTCTATTTGCCAGGAAAAGACAGAGGCTCAGAGAGGTCTAACACTTGCTTACAGAACCATGGCTATGATTACAACTCAAGCCTTTAGATCTCAATATGAATTTATCTCATTAACAGTACCCCCTCAACTTTGTTATCAGTCAATGGCAAGACAAATTCCCCCAAATTTAGATTTCAGAGGAACAATATATTTTTTTCTGCTGTCAGCATTAACTTACTGGTCGGGACTGGATTTCTTTGGCGTAGAGAGGTTGTAAGAATTCTGAGTCTCCTTCTAGCTTTAGACCTTTTTCTGTGATTCTCAGATTTCCCATTCCATCCTGAAATAGAGACACAGAGATAACAGGGAAAATTTGCTTAGCCCAAATTTCAAAATACCTCAGGCTGTCAAAAATTGAAACAAAGTTATTGCTTTTCTTTTTTTTAATATTTGAAGGAGCTAAATGAGGGCAGTCAAAATGAACACAAAAAATAGTAGGAGGCATTGTTCAATACAATTATGCGTATTATCCCTTTTGCTCACGTATTCTAAGAAAATTTTACTCCGAGCAATTTGTAATGGCTCCAAGTCAATGACACACACGGAAGAAGGTGGCCTTTACTGCTAGGCAGGACAGAGGGAAGGAGGCGGGAGGGGAGTGGGAAGAAAGAAAGGGATGATTCTCCAGGTTAAAGGGAAAGATCGTGTTTTCAAAATTTTAGGCAGAGATGTCACACTGTTAGCTCACTGCTCAAGTGTAGCCTTTAGACATGGCTTGTCTGGCTCACAAAACACGCAGGATGTCAGATTACTGACAAACACTCCGATTAACATTGTGTTATGTTCCCATTAAAATATGTAAAAGAAAGGATAGGGAGTTTTTTGTAGAGCTGGTGACATTATGACAGAGACGTAGTTTTTGATACAAGAATAGCCCGTGTGGAAGGCAGAAAAATGCCTCCCATCCCAAAGATGTCCACACTGCAATCTCTGGACCTCTGACTATGTTACAGTCTATGGCTAAGAAGAACTACGTGTGCAGAGAGAAGTAGGATTGATAATCAGGTGATCTTAGAATGTGGAGATTATCCTGAATTATGCAGATATGCTTAATAAAATCACAAAGTTCCTTAAAAGTTAGAGAGGGATGCAGAAGGGAAAGACAGATGCCCACCCATCTTTGGTGGCTGTTGTTATCTATTACACCCACCCATTCAGCTTCTCTCTTTTGTTTTTAATACTAACATCATGTATGGTATCCCCCTCAAAAAATTCCCCAATAGCAAAAACCCAGTGTCAAATAACAACAGTGACTTTTGTTATTAACACTCAGCTTCAGTGTTCACATGACACTAACATTTTTTCTATATATAACTTGTAAAGAAACAAATTGAGGATAAGAACGAAGTTTTCTACTACAACTAAAACTCTCTCAAATTTTTCTCTTATACACACACACACGCACACTATATTTGATAAATAAAATGTTAGTTTTTCATTTTTTTCTTTTTTGGGGGAAGAAAAATATTTTATTTCATGTTACAATTATCACAGTCGTTAATGGCATGTGTACATCTGTTGGAAGATAATCACTGGTCATTTCTTGTTCCACACTGCTTTTCACTTTATACTTGATTTTTACCATAGCAACTACCAAAACCTCAGTTTTATAAAGATAAGGAGTTTTGAACAAGGTTGCAAAAAGGTTGGAAACTATTATTTTGAACTAGTAGTTGGTGTGGCATCTGACAGAGACTGGCGTTTCCTTCAGAATTTAAACTACCCCAGGACACTCCTGTGAGTGTACTGCAGCAGTCTGGGTGCCTTCTATGCATACATATTCATTTTTATTGTGTATATTTTATAACACATGTTTTGATATACACAGACATAATGCAATGGGTTCAATATCTTATACTTTTTTGTTGTTGAAAACCTGAAATAGTTTTTTTCCCTTTTCTCCCCTACTTTCTTCCCTCCTACTCTTTTCTTTTCTTTCTTTCTTTTTTTTTGGGATGACAAAATCCTCTTGAAGCTTCATTCATAACTGGCGTTCTCTAACCATGACATTTCATGAAACATACTGAAATTTCAAGCCGGAGTTGAAATTATATGTATATTATGTCTATGGTATTTACAAAATTGCATGCTGAAATCTGATGTTTCGACACATTTTGGCAGCTGTAAAGTTTTTATCAAAGAATTCTTCACATTCTCAAACTGAATATTTCATATTTGCTGAAACAGGACAGAAGGAAGGAAGCAAAGAAAGAAGGAAGGGGGGAATGATAAAAGAAAAAAGAAAAAGAAAAAGAAAAAAATGCCTGAGTCCTATTTATTTAAGATGTTTATCAAGCACATTCTTGGAGCAAGACAATAGGGAGAGAAGATCGGGCGCCTCCAGACCTCAGGCATCCACACGGTCAATCCTGGCCACCTGGTGACACAGATCAAGTTTAGGTCAAACACAGGGTGAGGGTGCAGGAAGATTTCACAGTACAGGCTTTGGAGTCAGGTTGCATTCAAGTTCTGCTTGGTAGCTCCAGTCCCCTGTGCAAGTTCATCTTGTGACTTTGCATTTCTTTTCTTATTTAAATGGAAATAATACCTATCCCAAAGTTGTTTCTTCACAACTGATTAGCACCTCTCTACAGTGCATATTATATATCTAGTACTTTAAAGCCAGATAATTAATGGCTATTATTAATATTATTAAAATAGCCAGCAGAGACAGTCTGCTGAAGAATATCAAAGGGACAGAGAAAATAGTGAAGAGAATGGCAGAGTTCATGGCAGCAGGTGGTAGTATGTAGACTGGCACAACCACTTCAGAAAGCCATGTGGAAGTGGCTAGCAATGCCCAGCACACGCAGATGCAGCGACCCAGCAATTCAATGCCTAGATATATGTTCAGTACTCAAATATCTGTGTTCTAAAACATCTGCATAGCAGCATGATGTGCAATAGCCAAAACAAAAAAGCAACAACAAAAAAACTGGACACAGAACAAAGTGTAGAATGAATAAATCCCAGGTGGTATCTCAGACCACAGAATAAATACTGTTCAGCAGTAAGCAACCGTGAGTTGCTGCCGAACACAGCAGAGCGGATGCATCTCGCATCTGTGTTGAGCAAAGGCTGGCAGTCAGAGAGCAATCTGTATGAGCCCTTCTATGTAAATGCACATCAGGCTACCCTGTTAGAGGTAAGGGAAGTGCTTCTGAGGGGGCAGAGTTAATAGCCAGGAAAGTACATGAGGAGTCTTCTTACAGTATGTGCTCACTTTTTAAAAATCCTTGTGATTTAGGTACATTTGACTCTAATAGTTTAAGAAAAAGTTTGCCATCCCCTTTACCATTTGGTTACCAACAAGGTGACTGCCACTGGGTGTGCTCCAGGCCCTGCTGCAGGACAGTGGCTTTGGTTCTTTTCTGGACAAAGGAACAGAGAGGAGCTGCAACCTAACAGGGAAAGTCACGCGTGTCGTGAGGTGGGGAGAATCTTGGGCACCAGAAACTGCACTTGAGGGTCTGTGCCAGGCCACTGGGGGCAGTGGGGCTGATGAATGGTGTATCATTCTCTTCTAAGCAACGAAGGAAGGAAGGAAGGAAGAGAGAGGAAGGGAAAGCACAGAGCTAGATGAGGGGAGGGAAAGAATGAGAAAAGTGAAGCAGAAAGCAAAACAAAATACTGTTCCTGTCTCCACCTAGGTCCAGGCCTAAAGCATTTATGTCCTGCCTGGTTTAACTCTGGGTTTAGGTGATATGTGGATCACTGCTAGGCTTTTGTTCAATGAGCTTTACACTGGGACCCATTGTTTATTAACAAAGAAATAACCAGGTAGAGAGTTCAGGAACGGAAGTAGGTGGCAGGCTCCTATCTTCTGCTCTCCCTCGCCCCCATTCCTGCTGAGGTGTGCTGTGTTCCCGATGGACTCAGGGGTGCAGAGCTTTCCACCTTAAATGTGAGCTCCTCCTCAATGAACGTAGCAAGCTTAGCAGAACTGTACCAACCCTACAGTGTACGTATGCGTATGTACATTTTTTAAATTTACTGACTGATGACATAATTAAACTTTAATTTGTGTTCCTTAGAGGACACATAAATGAAAGAGCAGAATCCCGAGGGCAAAGGGTTAGAGATGAAAACAATCCATGGTAACCACAAGGCACTTGATTTACCTGTGCCTGTACAATCCAAGTAACTTATTTTTAGACAAAGTATTTACTTACTACACCAATTCCTTTTATTGCGAAAGAAGTCATTTCACTTAGTAAAGACTAATGGTGTCAGGTAGAAATAAAAACGTGATCTGATTGATCAAAGATGCCAGAAAAAAAGGCCAGTTTGTTTTTGACAAATCTAGCTTTTCAAAGTCTGTGGGTGCTATAGAAGTGGGTGATTCCTCATGTTTTGGACAATGCTGCCAGCGGTCCTTGAAGTGCTAGCCTCTCCTGCACATTCCAAAAGGATTCAGGTTCCAAAAATAGGCTTCCATGTAAACTTTTTAGGAACAGATCTGCTGTGAAAAAGATGTTTGTGAAACTGAGACTCCAAACAAAGCATGAAGATGATGTGGGACTGCATAACCTTTGTTCCTTTTCTCCAGCCCCATTGTGATTAAATGTGGGTTAATGGATAAAGATGCTTGTTAGTTTTGGGAGACTAGATAAAAATCTGTAACAGACTTAAAGTCCCAAAGTAAACTACTCAAATCCTTGTTTGCCCGGAACTGATGTTCCAGACCCCACAATCTACAGAACAAGCTGCAAATGTCTGCTGACCATCAATACGTGACAGTCGACCACCAACCTTTGTCCCCTTTTCTTTAGTTCTATATGTTAACTTCCCCCTCAACCCCCTATAAGAACAGCCTCGGACTCTGAGCCAGTTGCCTCTCTAAGCTATTTTGCTTTGGGAGTGCCGTCTGGCCAGACTAATAAAGGTCTGTTTTACTTTCCAACTTGTCCGGTGTGTTCCTTCCCGGGTGTTCTTCGCTGCAGTCAGCTCCTCGGAGCGTTTGGTAAGGCTCTTGGTCTTACATTCTGGAGGCACCGCTGGGATCCCTGGGTGTGCTTCACTGCAGTCAGCTCCTCGGAGCGTTTGGTAAGGCCCCCGGTCTTACAAAGACACGCCTTAAAATATTTACTAAGGATCAAAGATTCTTCCACATAAAGAGAAGATGACCGTACCACTGTACAGTTAGGTTCCGACTTGAACATTGGAGATTTTTTAAAAAATGCATCCATTTGCATTGCTTGCTAAAAATAAGCCAAAGGAGTTTAGGTTGAAAGATATGCTGTGGCAGCTGTGATTCAGTTTTAGGTTAAATAGCCAAGG